GGGCCATCTTGGAGGCCTCGTGGGCGATCTTTGGGTGATCTTTGGGGGCTCTTGGGCCGTATCGGGTCTTCGGAAGGCCGAAACGAAGCAAACGTCAAAATCCTTCAAAAACGTATGGAAAGTAATTGTTTTGGGCCTTTGCTGTCTTTCCTGGAGGCCCTCTTGGAGGCCGCTTGGGCTGTCCTGGGCCAGCGTCGAGCCAACTTCGGCCATCTTGGTGGGCTCCTGGCCCGTCTGACGCCGTCGGAAGCAGTTTGGGGGGCCTTTCTGGGCCGACTTGGGGCCCTCTTGGGGTGTTCCAGGGCAGTCTTAGAGGCCATCCTGGGCGTCTTGGAGGCCTCTTGGGTCGTCTCTGTGCCCTCTTGGGGACGTCTTGAGGGGCTCTTGGGCAGTCCTGAGGCCATCTTGGAGGCCTCTTGGGCGCTGTGTGGGCGCCGTCGGAAATCCAAGAAGTTCCAAATGACAGAATCCTTCAAACACCTATAGAAAATAACTGATTTTGGCCTCTTCGGGCCCTCCTGGAAAACCTCTTGGAGGCCTCTTTGGCCGTCTTGGAGGCTTATTGGGCCAACTTGGAGGTATCTTGGACCCTCTTGGGCCGTCTGGGAGGCCATCATGGACCATTTTGGGCGCACTTGAGATCATCTTGGCCGTCTTGGAGGCATCTTGGAGGCCATCTTAGGCCATCAGGGCGGTTTTGAAAACCATCTTGAGCCGTCTTGGGAGAGTTTTTGGGAGAATTCGGGGCTCTTCGGGTGGCCAGCGGGACGGGCCGAAGCCCCAGGGGAAGATCTTTTGGAAGAGAATCAAAACCCAAACCGAAATAATCTAGCACGCAGGGTACCCTGTGGCATGTCGTGGGGGGCTTCTCGGGGGCCTCTTGGAGGCGGTTTCGGCGCCTCTTGGGGACCTCCTGAGGACTCGTGGGGTATCTTTTGGGCCTCTTGGAAGCCTCTTTGGCGCGTCTTGGGCGCCTCGTGGGGCCTCTTGGAGCCTTTTGGGGGCTTCTCGGGGCTTCTCGGAGCGCTTCTTGGGCCATCTTGGAGCCCTCTCGGGCCGTCTGTGGGCCCTTTTGGAGGCGTTTTGGGGCGGTCTTTGGAGCTTCTTGAGCGATCTTGGAGCGTCGGAAAACCGAAACTGCGAGAACCCAAAATTCCTTCAACAACTGTTGTAAAATCGACGATGTTGGCCTCTTGGGGCTCTCTCCGGAGGCCTCTTGGAGTGCTCTTGGGGCCCTCTTGGGCCGTCTTGGAACTCTCTTCGGGCGCCTTGGAGCACTCTTGGCCTCAGCAATACGAATATGGTGTAGACTGCGAGGGTTTACGGCCACGTGGAAGCGAATATGGAATGATGTACGATGGGTTGTTGCCTCGGGGACGCAATAATTTAACACTTTGCTAGGGTGTGTGGCCTCGGGGACGCGAATATCATGAACATAAAAGTGAATCTAGCTTCGGGTCCGCGACTATTGAGCAATTTGCGAGGGTTTGTGGCCTCGGGGACGCGAATCCTGGTGCAATTTAAAACGGATTCTGGCTCCGGGGACGCGAAGATCGCTTAGTTGACGAGGGTTTGTTGCCTCGGGGACGCAAAACTTGAATAGAGGGTTTGTTGCCTCGGGGCACAACAATTGTGTAATTTGCAACGGCGAATGGCATCGGGGACGCGAATATTGAGTAATTTACCAGGGGGTGTTGCCTCGGGGACGCGCAAATTGAATAATCTGCGAGGGCTACTTACCTCGGGGACGCGAACAATGCATAATTTACGAGGGCTCGTGGCCTCGGGAGTGCAATTGTGGCGCAAGCGTAATTTACAGGAGATCGTGTCCTCGGGGGCGCGAATATGGTGTATTTTAGAAGGGATCGTGGCTTCGGGGATGCGAATGTGGTGCAATTTGCGCGGGATCGTGGCCCCAGGGACGCGAATACATAGTGATGTATGAGAGATTATTGCGTTGGGAGCGCGAATCTCACGTATTTTGTGTGTCCCACGGCCCCGCAGTAATGGATAGCACGCGATTCGGGGGTGGTGGCCCGATGGTTTGGGGCTCCCCCCCCTCGCGCGGACTTCAAATTCACCCTAGGAAGCAGAAAGCAGAACTGCAACATTGGAGACTTGAAACTGCAGCTGGCGCAGGGAGCAGCAAACCCGATCCTCGCAGCCTGATGGCCCCAGAAGGGGGCCGGCGGACATGGATCAGGGAATGTGGGAGCATGCAGGTGAAGAAAGAGGAGGGGCGGCCGTCGAACTGAAGATCGGGATCAGCCTGATCAGGCACACGAGTGAACCAGAACTGCATGCCTTCGCGAGCTTCTTCGCGGCATGCTTGGGCCATTTCGGGGCCGTCTTGGGGCAATTTGGGATGCCCGCTTGACCCTTTTGGGACTCCCTTGGGGCCCCCTTGGGGCCTTGGGGGTCGTCTTGGGGCCATCCTGGAGGCCATCGGCAGGAATTGGAGGGGGTGGTGGTCCGCAAAGCCAGACGTCCAGTGGGGCATGATGTCAGGAGGGGCACCAAGAACGTCCACCGACATCGTATACAGTCAAATCGCGGAGTAAGGATGAGCAACTTGTCCTAGGTCACCCTTGCATCCTTGCCCCTTCGGTCCATCCCTGGCAACTTCCGCTGGCCAGCCCCTTAGGGTACCCTTGGGGCGGGCTTTCCAAGGCCCTTGCATCCTTATCCTGCGTCCTTACTTCGCGGATTGACTGTACCAAGAACATATCTCGTTGACATGAATGACACCAGGGACGGACCCCAAGCAGTGGATCCCCTTGATTTGTGTTTGCCTGCGCTCCACGCCTGCCCTTTCTTTCTTTCTTGGTTCTCTCTCGCTCTCTCTCTCTCGATTTGCTGTTTCTCTCTCTAACTTTTTTTTGTTCCTCTCTCTCTCTCTCCCTCTGTTCCTTTACTTGCGTACCCTTCATAAGCGTGTAGTCTCTGTCTACTGATGTGCCCTCAACACCTCGCTCTGCACTCTAGTGTCCCAGACCCCCTCTCAAGAAAGTATAGTGCACGAGAACACCTATTCAGTTTTTGTGTGTACATCTCGCTACCTCTCTGTTCTGTCTCTTTATCTAAAGTTGTTTGTTTTGTTGTTTCTCCCTCTCTCCTTCTCTCTCTGTCTCTCCGTATTCCCAAATTCGTCCCATGTTCCCTGAATTGCACTTCGATTATTTACCCTTTGACTCTGACCTCCCCGTCCATCTTTGAATCGTATATGCAACAGTGATCACACATCTTCTCTCTCTCTCTCTCTCCCTTACCAATCTCTGTGTTCAACTCTGCCTCTGATCGCAGCTCTATGACCCCAGTGCTCCTCACGATTAGAGATCCAGGCGCTTGGCCACAACCATGCCATTCAGAACCCCATTTCCTTACACTGTCGGGAACCCAGAAACGGGAAGTGGGAAGCCAGAGACCCACCAAACCTTACACTGTCGGGCACGCCGAAATCGGGAACATGGGAACCCAGCCGCCCACCGAACCGGAAGCCCGGAAACCCGGCACAGTCGGGAACCCCGGAACCTGCCGGTAACCCCGGAACCAGGAATAAGGCCCCCGGGAACCTAGCCGCCCAGAACCTGGAACCGGGATCGAGGAATTCAGTGTTGGCAGCCTGTCTGGCTCCAGAAGGAGTCGTGCGAAGCGCAGACCGGACCAGGGTGAAGGCGGGACTGTGGTGGTGGAGCCTGAGATTGGTTCAAGGACGTCCGAAGAGGTAGGGGGCCTTTCGCGCACATATCCCAGGCAAAATGTCAAGTGAGCGACGCAAAAGACGAGGCGGCTTCGCCGACAGCAGCGCGCAAGCTGCCCGCGCAGCGTAAGGTCGCGCGTAAGCGCCCTCGTTTCCCACGCGGCGTGCCGCGCTGGCCGCCCGCGTAAGCGGCGGCGTAAGGTCGCTGTACCATCAAGCGTAAGAGGACCCGTTTTGGATCGTCGCCCAGGTGCCGGAGGCACACAGGTCGTCGGAGTTGCCGATCGAGACTATGTTCTTCAAGGGTACCACCAGACCAGGTGTCAGATTGGCACTCGAATTTTGTCAGTTGCGGTCCAGGTCGGATCACCAGTATGGGGCGATTTTGTCTCCGAAGCCGTCTTGCGTACGTGCCCGCGCAAGCTGAATCACGCAACCAGGAGCGACATGCACAAGTACGTACCAGGTATTTACTCATGATGCGTGCAGACGCATGTCGATTACGTACAGAAAGGAACACAATGGAAATCAGCAGGGAAAGCATGAGCTGCAATTGCAACACACATCGGCAATCTGCATTTACAACGGACACCAATGACAAACACCACGGACGGGCACCACCGTCATACATCAATGAGACGTGACATGCAGCACGGCGTCAGACAATCCACATAGTTCCAGAGGAGCCACCATCAATTCCATACACAAAGCGCGTGCGTACTCAGTACCAACCAGCAGCATACATCAATGCCACACGTTCACAGCACACATCAATGTTATACATTGTGTGTCGGCATTATTGAAGACGTCGCATCATTCACGGTCCTGGGATTCGTTATGGTGGTTGTGGGGGTGGTAGAATTGCGCTAGAACTCTGTTGTGCCCTTGGTGGAGTTCGAAGCAACGCTGTGTCTTCTCAATCCCCGGGGACCTTCCCCCTTCATTTTCTCTTGCTGCCGCCCTTCGGCCTACATCCGATCTTTCTCCGCTCCACCTCTATTCGTACCCCTCTCCCGCAGTCTCTCAAAATATATCCAGACTCTTGACCACCCCGACCCCTCCTCGCCGTCCGCCCTCTCCGCCGTCGTCATCCTCTTCGCCATCGTCCGTCCTCCTCCGTTGTGGTCGTGGCCCTCCGCTGTCCCTGGCCCCTCTTCGCCGTCGTCCGCCCGTCCTCCGCTGTCGTCGTCGCCCTCCGCCGTCCCCTGCCACTCTCCGCCGCCGTCCTGCCCCCTTCTGCTTATGCCCTGGCCCCCCGTGGAAGCGTGGCGCGAGAGCGAGCTTCCCCGCGGGGAAAGAGGTCGCGGCGCTGTGCGAGCACGGCGCGCGCGTGACGCCCGAGGTGCTGGAGGAGGCCCCCCCCCCGCTGCTACAGCGGGGCCGGACTGCGGGGGAGGGCGAGGAGCGAGGAGGAGGAGGAGGAGGAGGAGGAGGAGTAGGAGGAGGAGGAGGAGGAGGGAGGAGGAGAGAGGAGGAGGAGGAGGAGGAGGAGGAGGAGGAGGAGGAAGGAGGGAGGGAGAGAGAGCGAGAGGGGAGGAGGGAGGAGGAGGGAGGAGGAGGAGGAGGAGGAGGGAGGAGGGAGGAGGAGGGAGGAGGGAGGAGGGAGGAGGAGGAGGAGGAGGAGGAGGAGGGAGGAGGAGGGAGGAGGGAGGGAGGAGGGAGGAGGGAGGAGGAGGAGGGGAGGAGGGAGGGAGGAGGAGGGGGAGGAGGGAGGAGGAGGGAGGAGGGAGGAGGGAGGAGGGAGGAGGAGGAGAGGAGGAGGGAGGAGGGAGGAGGAGGGAGGATGGGGGATGGGGGATTGAGGATGGGGGATTGAGGATGAACGAAACGACGAGGATCGAGGGTGGAGGGGGACGGAGACGACAAGGATGGAGAAGAGAGGGGGAATGAGGAGAAGGATGAGGGGAGCGACGAGGAGGAGAGCCGAGTGGAGAGCGGAGAAAGAGAGGTGGGATGGATGTTCATGCGGATGTTCATGTTGTCGACGACGGCAGTGATGGGGGACGACGGGAGTGATGGGTGGGGGAGACCCAGACATCCGGCGCCTCAAACAAAAGCGAGGCTGCTGCTTTTGGACCGCTTTCGGCCTCTCGGGGCCGCTGCCAGGCCTCGGGGCCGTCAGAGCACCATTCGGGACGAAGGGCGGGTCCTGGGGGTGTGGTCGAGGCGTCGGGCGCTCGTGCTCCGCAGCAATCGAGACGCCCGATGCCTGGGGAGGGGCGGGGAAGACAAGGATGGAGGAGGGAGGGGTGAAGGAGGAGAGCGACTAGATGGAGAGCGACTAGATGGACTAGATGGAGAGCCGAGAGGAAGAGGGGAGCGACTAGATGGAGAGCCGAGGGGAGACCAGAGAAGGTCAGGATTGCTGTTGATGTTGATGTTGCCGTTGATGTTAATGAAATGGCGACTCTGATGTTGATGATGATGCTTATGACTATGAGGCAGATATTGGTTATTATGGTGATGATGCTGATGATGGTGGTGGTGGCGATGGTGATGGTGATACTGATGACGAGGATGATGATGCTGATGATGATGGGGGTGATGATGCTTATGCTGATGATGACGACGATGGTGATGATGCTGCTGATGATGATGATTATGATGATGATTATGATGATGTTGGTGTTCATCTTGGTGATGGTTATGACGATGATGATGATGATGATGATGGTGGTTGTGGTTGTAATGACGATAATGGAAACGAGGATGACGATGATGCCGATGGTTGTGATGATGATGGTGATGATGATGGTGGTGCTGATAGAGTGGCGCTGGTGATGGCTATGGTGATGGTGATAGTGATGGTGATGAATTTGACGATGCTGATGTTGTTATGATGGTGATGCTGATGATGATGATGCTGATGATGATGATGATGATGAGGATGATGATGATGCTGCTGCTGCTGATGATGATGACGATGATGATGATGATGGTGGCGTTGATGATGGTGAGGAGAAGGAGGAGGATGCTTCTGGTGATGAGTGCTAGAATAGGGGGACTAGCTACGGCAAATAACATCGAGGACAGCTACGCATGAGCACTTTCATGCGTGATGTTGATTATCATGATACCTGCGGTAAACATTGTGATGGTGATGATGGCAACGCCGGCGATGATGATGACGACGATGATGACGACGATGATGACGACGATGATGATGATGATGATGATGATGATGGTGATGATGATGATGCTGATTATGATGATGATGATGATGATGATGATGATGATGATGATGATGATGATGATGATGATGATGATGATGATGATGATGATGATGATGATGATGATGATGATGATGATGATGATGATGATGATGATGATGATGATGATGATGATGATGGTGACGGTGACGCCGATGAAGACGATGACGATGATGATGTTGAGGGCAATGAATTTCGTGAGGAGTACGGTGACATCTGATGGGGATACTAGAGGATCTGCGAAGATGGTGATAATGATGAGGATAATGATTAAACGGAGTAACTATGCAGAGGATGTGGGGAAATGATAGGAAATACATGAGCGACTACAGGGAGGAGTAACTTATTGAGTGCACGGCTCACTGAGGTCATGCACAAGGTGACACATGCGACGCATAGTAACACCAGATTTTGGAAGGCATATGGTGCTGTTCATTTCGTTTGAGGCAGGCCTATGGTGGCACAGTCCTATAAGGTTGGAAAGGCACATGGCGCGCTTGCGTGCTACTGCTACCCCCACCTCACACTCAGGGTTTCGCCCCCCCCCCCCTTGGTGGGCAGGTGGGCTTGCGGGCCGCCCTCTCCTGACGCCTCATGTACTGCGCCGGGGGTAGTGGGGATCTTCATTTTTGCCGGTGAGTCCCATGAAGTCCAACCCACCCGTCCTCGGGCGGGGCTAGGGCGAGGATAGATCCGTTCCAGAGCGTTCCAGAACACTCTCAGGGCGTTCTGGGACGCTCTGAGAAGGCTGCGGCGCCGGAGACATCCTCCAGAGCCGCGGGGTCTCAGAGATTCATCGATTCATCGATTCGTCCTCACTCGAGGTTATCCTCGTCCTGGGTTCGTCTTACGCCCTACGGTGGCCCGCAGCGCGATCTGGTGATGTCGCCATCTCCCCGCTCCCGAGCCCCGTCTTCGCTCTGGCCCCGAGACTGTTTGGATGCAACTCCTGGGAGGTCAAATTCTGACGTTGCCCTGGTCCGAAATGTTGCTCAATCCCGTTTAATCCATATGAACCCCGCTTAATCCGCCGTGATCTCGCTTAATCCGCCGCCTAATCCTGCGTAGCAGCCCCCTAGTGGGGGGTAATCTTCCTTCACCCTTCCGACGAAGACCTCCCAGCAGTTGCCTCCGAACGACTGTTCACTCCCCCTCCCTTGGGGGGCAGCACAAGGGAGCGGGGAGGAGTTCACGGGGCGTCACGCCGCAGCCGCCACCACTTCGCGGCGTCACGCCCGCGCATGCTGATGCTGAGGAAAAGAAGGAAGGCGAGAGGAGCGATGAGCAATTTCGCGAAAGGGGCGATGAACAATTTCGCGGCTGTCGCGTGCTACGATCAATGAGCGCTATCCCAGATCCACCTCGGAGGAGCGCTGATAAGAACGAGAAGGAGGTGAAAGGGGAGGGGGACGGGGATGAGGAGGAGCAGGATGAGGATGAGTCCTGGCGCGACATCGGGTGACATGCGAGTAAACACATACATTATCATTGGTCACACGCACGAGCAATACTCAGAGGCACGCACATTATCGTATCATCATCGGCCGCACGCAGTATCAAGGGCGCCAATCAACAAATCGCACGCACGATTATTGATCGCACGCACATGAGAATGTGCACGAGTATAAGTACGAGGATGCGGAGTGAAGATGAACCTCGCCAGTCTAAATGTCTTTTCAGGCAGTCAGACATTCGAACATTTAGTAAGTAGCGCCTTCGTCCGTCGACAAGCGAGATTGTGGCTCATAAGTTCAGCTCAACAGTGTTCGCCCTCTGTGTTTGATCCCCTCAACCCCTCTATACGTCGGAGGTTGTGGGTCTCAGGCTGGGACCTGATCGGGTCCGTCGGCTGCGAGACCACTGCTAGGGCGGGGGTCTTTTCGGCACCGCTTGCATAGTGGACAATGATGAGAATGAATGAATTCATGCGGACGGGGCTGGGAACGCATGATGATCATTATTATGATGTTGATGTTGATGGTGTGCAGGACGATGATGATGCTGCTGTTGGTCAATATGAGTGTGGCCTTGCGTAGGATTGTGACGGTGATGATGCTGGCTATGACGGTGATGTTGATACGTATGATAGTGATGGGTTCCGTGACGAGTCTGATGTTGTCGATGACGTTGTTGATGTTGACGACGACATCGATGTTGGTGATTCTGATGACGATGGTAGTAGTGACGATGGCGACGATGACTGTGTTGCTGATGCTGGTGACGAAACTGACCATGGCGATGTCGATGGTGACTATGATGACGACGGCGACGATGACGATGACGATGACGATGAGGAGGATGTTGGTGAGTACGATAATGAAGATTTCGATGACGATGACGATGTTGATGATGATGACGATGCTGATGGTGACGGTGTTGATGATGATGCTGATGGTCAAGACGAGGATGGGGATGATAAATATGGTAACGTGATGATGGGCATGACAACGTTGCATATAATGACCAACGACGAAGACGACGAGACCAACGAGCAGTCGGAGGAGCATGCTGAGGGATGTAACGAAAACGAATACGAGGAGCATGAGGTGAGGACAATGGCTACAACTATGGTGATCGAGGGCAGGAGCATGACGATGAGGATATCGAGGATGAGGAGGCGTAGGACAAGCAGTGGCAGGAGGAGGTGGTGGTGGTATACGTGTGGACGAATGCTGAGGATGGGAGATGGAGAGGCGGGAGGAGAGATTGGAGATTGGGACAATGGATGGCGGCAGGATGAATGTATGAAGAGGGGATGATTGAAGGATGAGATGATGGGTATAGCTGGCGATACGCTATCGTCCCCGAAGTATTGTGCGTAACCGCCCCCGCGCTGGAGGTTCCGTAGCTTTGATGGCCCGTGGTCCTCCAAGCTACAGAAGCAGTCGGTCCAGCCTGTGGAGAAGAGGACACGGGACCAGAAGCGGAGGAGAGCAGACACAGGGTGGCACAATGTATGGAATCATGTCTTTGGGATGGGGGGGGTACAGATAGAGTGTCGGGGCATAGGGGCATGCGCAGGGGGGGGAGGAGACGGAGGAGGAGGAGGAAGAGGAGGAGGAGGAGGAGGAAGAGGAGGAGGAGGAGGAAGAGGGGAGGAGGAGGAGGAGGAAGAGGAGGGGAGGAGAGGAGGAAGAGAGGGAATACGAAGAGGGAGGAGCCAGGAGGGGAGCGAGGAGGAAGGGTAGGAGAGGGACGAGGACGAGGAGGGTGCATACGCGGGGGGGGGGGGGTCGGTCGGATTTTGGGGGGAAGCGGCGGGGAGAAGGGATGCCAGCCGCGCGCGCCTGCGCGGGGCTTCTCCACCCCCGCGCGCCGCGTCGCAGAGGTGAAGCTCATCTCGCAGGAGTCGCGCCGCGTGAGAATCGACGAGATCCTCAGGCGGGGCGTGACGGGAAGAGGAGCCCAGGCAGGAGGTGGAGGCGGGTGTGGCGGAGGAAAGGGAAGGGGGGCAGGGAGGCAAGAATGGATTTGGAATAATGGGCTCGTTCATCCACCTACGCCCCAAGGCCAGGTCGGAGTTTACGTGACCAAGGACACCCAGGATTCTGATGTTTTTTTTGTTCGAGGGGGAGGGCGCGCTTCGCGGGCCATGGGGACTGATGCCGACCTGCTGGAATTGTTGCGCGTACCGCGTCAGATCCATTCCGCCCATGGTTCTGCTTCCTCCTCCTCCCTCCGCCACCTCCTCCTCCCTCCTCCACCTCCTCCTCCTCTGCCCTCCCTTCTCCTCCTCCACCTCCTCCTCCTCCTCGACGCTGCCGTCTGCCACTTTGTGGTGCCTCCTCGGCGGATTCAGCCCAGACTGGCCAGCAGCAGGGCCAGCACGGCAGATGTTGGGACAGTACCGAGTGCGGAGCCTCGACTGTGTCAGGCCTGACCTGGCGCCCCCGCCCCCGAACGCGCGGGCAATATTTTGTGCCACGAGATGAGCGAGCACGGCTTCTTCCCAGGCGCGGGCACGGGCTTCCCCGGTGCTTCCCCGGTGCGCGTCCCGCAGCTTGATGTCTCCCCCGCAAGGGGAGCTTGCGGCGTCGTTAGTGCGCACGGCTCTGGCTCGACGGGGGACGGGGTCTTTCTTGGGCCCAGCCCTCCTCGACATGTATGCGGGGGGGGTCTTCACATAACAGAAAGCAAAGCGAGGGAAGTTGGAGGAGGGAGGGAGCTAAGAGAGAAAGAGAAACGAGGAGGACAACGAAGGGGGATGATGATGATCATGATGATGATAACAATGACGATGATGATGGTGATGGTGATGGTGATGGTGATGGTGGTGGTTGTGATGATGATGGTCATCATCAGCATCATCATCCTCATTATGATTGTTATTGTTAGTATCACCACTACGTTTACTAATAACAGATTAATGATGGTGATTGTGGTATCGGGTATGCTGGTGATTATGTGACGATGGTGATGATATTGATGAAGACTGTAATGATGGCGATGGTGTTGCTGATGACGATGGTGGTGATGACGACGGTGGTGATGATGATGATGCCGCTGATGATGATGATGATGGTGGTGGTGGGGATGATGATGACGCTGATGATGATGATGATGATTATTATGCTGCTGATGATGATGCCGCTGATGATGATGGTGATGACGGTGATGGCGATGGTGATGATGATGGTGGTGAAGGTGGTGATGACGATGGTGGTGATGCTGTTGTTGCTGATGATGGTGGTGTTGGTGACGATGATAATGATGACGGCGATGATGATGTTGTAATGGTGATGGTGACGATGATGATGATGATGATGATGATGATGATGATGATGATGATGATGATTATGATGATGATGATGATGATGATGCTGACGATGACGATGGCGACAATGACGATGCTCCTGATGCTGATTATGATGATGATGCTGTGAATGCTGATGTTGATGATGGTGATGCTGATGATGATGATAATACTGTTGCTGATGCTGATGATGGTGATGGTGTTGGTGATGGCGATGATGATGATGATGAGGAGGAGGATGATGATGATGATCATGATCATGATCATGATCATGATCATGATCATGATGATGATGGTGATGATGATGCTGATGATGATGATGATGATGATGGTGGTGGCGGTGGTGGTGGTGGTGGTGGTGGTGGTGATGATGATGATGATGATGATGATGATGATGATGATGATGATGGTGGTGGTGGTGGTGGTGGTGGTGGTGGTGATGATGATGATGATGATGATGATGATGATGATACGGATGATGATGGTGATGCTGATAATGAGAAAGAGCGTGTTCTACCGCTGCTGGCGGAAAACCGGGGGGGGTCAGTACCGGTTCGAACCCCCCCCCTCCCCCTCCGGAAAACCGGGGGGGGTCTCTTCGAACCAGTAGTGACCTTCCTCTGGTTTTCTGGGTGGGGGGGGAGGGGTTCGAACCAGTAGTGCCCCCCCCCCCGTTTTCCAAGGGAGGGGTGGGGGGGGGGTTCGACCCGTCCGTAATGACCCTTCCCGGTTTTCCGGAGGGGAGGGGGGGGGTTAGGGGACGGGGTGGGTTTTGCCGGGGGAAGGGGGGGGGGTTCCAGCAGGGGGGGGGATTTCCGGAGGGGGGGGGGGACCCCCGGTTTCTGGAGGAAGAGGGGGGGGAATTTTCCACAGTAAAGCGGCGGTGGATCACGCTCTCTCGATGATGATGATGATGATGATGATGATGATGATGATGATGATGATGATGATGATGATCGTGATGATGATGATGTTGATGTTGATGATGATGATGCTGATGATGCTGATGATGCTGATGATGATGATCATAGTGATGATGGTGATGATGATGATGCCGCTGATGATGGTGCTGATGGCGATTATGATGACGCTGATGATGCTGATGATGATGACTGTCATGGTGATGATGCTGATGATGATGATGATCGTGATGTTGATGGTGATACTGGTGGTGCCGGTGGTTGTGCTGATGTTGGTGATGATGCTGTTTCGGTTGATGATGATTATGATGCTGATGAGGATTATCATGATGCTGCTGATGGTGATGTCGAAGGCGATGGTGATTCTGAGCGATTATGGTGATCGTGATGGTGATGGTGATGGTGGTGATGATGATGTTTCTAATGATGATGCTGATGACGCTGATGATGACGACACTGGTGATGATGGTAATGGTGATTATGGTGGTGATGGCGGTGATGGTGGTGATTGTCGCTATGACGCGGATGAATATACAGATGATCATTATTGTGACGATGGCGGCGATGATAATAATGTTGATGCGGATGGTGGTTGTTGTGATGGTGACGGTGACAGTGATGGGTGTGATGCTGGTGATGATGATGATCATGATGATGATGATGATGATGGTGATGATGATGATGGTGATGACCATGAGGATGTGGATGAGGCTTATGATGATGATGATGATGATGATGATGATGATGATGATGATGATGATGATGATGATGATGATTCTGCTGATGATTACCAGTATTATTATTATTGTTATTATTATTAGTAGTATTATTATGATAATTATTATTATGCTGATGATGGTGATGGTGATGGTGATGGTAATGATGATGACGGCGGTGGTGGTGGTGATGGAGGAGGAGAGGAGGACAAGGAGGAGGAGGAGGAGGAGGAGGAGATGCAGGAGGGCCAGGAGGAGGATGAGGAGGAGCAAGCAGGATCGATTAAGGAGGAGGACTGGGATGCGAGATCAGCACTTGCTGGGTGGAGGGAGTGTGGCAGGATGAGAAGGATGAGGGAAGGAAGGAGGGAGGAAGGAGGAAACATGGTGGAGGGAGGTAGGATGGACTGAAGGGCGGAGGAGAGCGGGAGGAGGTGGGAAATGGGAGGGGCCTCTAGGTGGAGGAGGAGGGGGCAGGTGGGAGGTGGGATGGAGGAGGAGGGAGGTGGGATGGAGGAGGAGGCAGGTGGGAGCAGCGATGATCGAGTTACGAGGAGTTCGAAGCCGCTGTGCAAGAACGACGAGGAGGAGGTGGCCGGAACATGCGATGAGGATGATTATCTATGGTATGGAGGGGGAAGGAGTCTGGGGAGGAGTACGGTGTTGTCGTTGGGGGATGCGGATGGACAGGGAAAAAGAGGAAGAGGAAGGACACTGATGAGGAGAGGGAGGGAAGGAGGAGCACGAGCAGCAAGAGGAACGCTCTGATGAGGGGGAGTGGTGGACGAGGGGCATTCGGACACAAAGGGGAAGGACCGGATGCAGAAGCAAGATCAGTCGCCGGAGTAGGCTCCAATGCCGAGGGGTGGGCGCAGCAGAGGCATGCCGCCTCGGGAGGCCACAGGTCCAGGGCGACCCGAACATGAAGTGCGCCCACCGCCCTCGGACGTGTCGCCCGCCACCGGGCGCGAGCAGCGATGTCGGGGAACAGACCCAGAGATCCAGCGCATTGGACAAACATCAAGACGGAGGTTTTTCGCAAATTTCGGCCCCCAGGGGCCCTCGCCGGGCCTCGGGACCGTCCCAAAACGACTCAGGATGAAAAACTGGTCCTGGGGAATGGGTCGAGACTTCCGGGGACCGCGCATCGAAAAGATCACGACGTTGGATCTCTGGGGAGGGGGAAAAGGTACTCCAGGTTTCTTGATAAGCGTGGGGGGGATATCCCCCCGACGGGAGTCAGCCTTGTTTCGTCGTCGCGCCGCGACGGGGGTCGGCGCGCCTTCGGCGCGCGGTGGCTGCCCGCGACGGGGGTCGATGTGGAGCTGTCGGCGGGGGTGACGCCCCCCCGACGCCGACTAAGAAACTCCAGGGGTCCTCCTCCCCATCCTCCCTCCCTCCTCCTCCTCCTCCTCCTCCTCCTCCCCCTCCTCTCCTCCACCTCCTCCCCCTCCTCATCCTCCTCTCCTTCTTCTCCTCCTCCTCCTCCCCTCCTCCTCCTCCTCCTCCTCCTCCTTCCTCCTCCTCCTACTCCTCCTAGCCCCTTTGCGCTCGAGGAGCGTTGCAGAAACTGTTTTTCAAAGGGGCGCGCGTTCCTGCGAGACAATTTTGAGAGGCGACAAGATTCCCGCCGTCGTCCCAGAGCTAGCATGGCCCCGATTGCCTCTCGAGCTGCACGCTGGAACGATGGCTGGCCATGGCAAGATCCCGATCGCTCGTTCTACCAGCACCGTGGGAACACTCCGTCGTCGTGGAAGTGCTCTCAGTGCGGATGCAAGAAGAACAAGCAGCAGTCGCAGCAGTGTAAGCACTGCTGGTCCTGGCGGAGCTCGCCGTCCTTCGACATGCATCCCTCGCCGCAAGGGGTCTGGCAAGGACAGTCGCAGCAAGCAGGGCCCCAAAGTGCTCCGCCTCCTCATGGTTCTTGGTCTGGCACGCTTCCTGTGCAGCCAGGCCCGTTGTTCCAGCAGTCAGGAGGGTCTCTTCCGCGTCCTGGAGGAGCCGTGGTGGAGTCGGCCAAGCTCAGCGAGGTCATCGCCTACATGCGCTCGGTGGGCGACTCCGACGGCGTTGCCAAGTACCAGAAGATCCTGGACTCCAAGCACGTGGTGCAGAAGGTCGAACCCCCCCTTCCAGCAGCAGGTGGGCAAGGCCTTCCACGACATGCGTGCCCTGGAAGGCAAGCTCAACAAAGCGGTCACGTACTTCGAGAGGCTCCAGAAAGACCTGGACGCCCAGCGCATTGTGGTGCAGTCTTTCACGGAGGAACTTTCCAAGGCTGAGCAACGTCACGAAGGACTCGTTCAGCAGCTGGCCGAGCATGTGGGTGGTGAAGCTGCTGGAGAACAGCAAGCATCTACACCTTCGATCCCTATCGAGGACATTCTCCAGGGCAAAGAGCTGCCTATCAACTTGGACTCGCTGCTGGCGCCTGAGGCTGAGTGCGACCTCTCACCCGAGGACAAGAAAGAGGCAGAGACGCGGCTCAAGACGTTGCAGCAGTCGATCTCTCAGCAAGTACAGCAGCTATTTGGAGCAGCTGCTGAGCAGGCAGCCAAGTTTCGTGAGGAGCAGAAGAAGCAGTTGGAGCGCCTGGCAGGCAAGCGTCGGCGCGTCGCTGAAGGAGGAGAAGGAGCCGCAGCGGCAGAAGATGCACCAGCAGCTGACGGTGACGGCAAAAGTGCTGCAGATCCAGAGTCGGTGCCTGGTGTCCCCGCGGGTGGTGGTGAGCCTGCTGGACAGCCAGCTGCTGCTCCTGGAGCCGCGACCGCGGACCATGCTGACGCCGAGGATGTCCGCGCCCGAGCACGCCGCGTGCTTCAACGAGCTCCCCCCCCCTTCAGGCGCATCGGCGTGAAGGGGGATGCGATTTCAGCAACCGCATGCTCCTCAGTTTCGTTCTGGACTTGCTGACCTGACAGCCTCGCCAGGCCCAGCTGCCAGCATTCTTTTTCAGTCGGACCAGGGCCTTGCTGGCCCCACCTGCTTCTGGAATCCTCCTTGTGAGCCTCATCACTCGGAGGGCCCCGAGGCGGTGCCCCCCGTCCCTCGCCCCCGCGTTGCGCCCGTAGCGGTGTTGAAAAACGGCCTTGAGAAGAGCAGGGCCGCCGCGAACCCTGCTCGTTTTTGCGCAGATAAGTCTAACTCTGATTATGTGGCCTATCGGCCGTTCTCCCGTCGCCCCCCTCCTGACATGGACGGCGTGTCGCGGCCTGCAAGTCGGTTCCGCGGCTTGTTAGCGGCTGTGCGTCGCACCTTCTGGAGGGCTGCGCGAATTTTGAATGGAGGGCGGGCGACCCGCACTTCCCTGCCAGCTGACTCCCCTTGTAAGCTGGCCAGTTTTGGACACAGATCACCTTTTTACCCCGTCCTGGGCTTTCCAGGCGCGGGTAGCCCTGTGGAGATGGTGCCTGGCCCCAGGATCTCTCCCCCTCCTCTTCCGTGCCTCACTCCTCCCTCTCCTGGCCAGGTCCAGGGGTCTGACGGGCTGAGCTCGGTGCAACTGTTGATTCGAAGTATGAACGTGGACTCGTGGGGCACGATCAAGAAGCTTTTGCCTGACACGCCTGCCAACGTCGTGTTGGTGCAGGAGCATCGGCTGCTCCACGCCGAGAAGATTTACGCGGCTTCTCAGTGGTGTGCTCGAAATGGTTGGAAGTCTCTCTGGTGTCCCGCCTGTGAGACCGACTCCGGCGCCTCAGGAGGTGTCGCCGTGCTTGTTCGTGATTGGCTCGGCCTCACTTCTCCTGTGGAAGGGTTTGTGGTTTCCAAAGGCCACGCGATGGTGGCCGATGTTCAGGTCCCAGGGGGCTTCACTTTCAGGATCGGGAGCGTTTATTTGCACCACAGTGAAGGCCTGTCGGAGCGAAACTTGGAAGCGTTGGCCTCCTTAGGGGCGAGATGTTCGGGGTTCCCTGGTTCGTTCGTGTTGGGAGGGGATTTCAACCTTCCCCCCTCGCACCTTGCCGCTTCCAAGTTTGTCTCTGAATTGCGGGGCCAGCTGATTGATCCAGACGGCTGCACCTTCTTTGGGGATGGAGCCCCATCCAAGATTGATTTTTTTGTGCGCAGTGGAGGCCTTGGAAAGGCGGCTGCTTCTTGTGAAGTTGTTATGAGCACGGAACTGAGCCCGCACCGCCCTGTCGATCGAAAGTTCCACCCCGCGCCTGCTTTGTTGAAAGCCTTGAGTTTCCGAAAGCCTCCCCCGCTCCCCTCGGATCCTGCGTTGGGCCCCAAGCCCCAGCAGCAGGGCTGGACTCAGGTTCTGGACATGGCTCAGGAGGGCCTTCGAGAGGTTGAACGCGGGAATGGTACTCGGGCGGCTAGTCTCCACACCCTTGGCTACGGTGCCTGGGCTGACGTTGCGGAAGCGGAGCTGATTCCCATCTCAGGTGCCGACGTGATCAGGAAGGGGACGAGGAGTGCGGGGCCTCAGCTCATGTGGAGATCGGTGGTGGGACGGGATAGCAAGCCAAGGTATCCTGCCCACAGGGCAATAAAGTGGCTGGGGGCTCAGTTTCGTAGTTTGGTCTCACTGCGCAGGGACAACCGAGGTGGGTCTGCGCAGGCGCAGGCCATCCACGCTTCTTTTCTTTGCTGGCCTGCCTCTGTCTCTTGCCACACGAAGGAGTATCAGAGCTCATTCGATTGTATCAGGCGCTTCGTTCAACAGCATCCCTCACCCCAATGGACGATGGAGGTGATAGCTCTTGGCGAGCCGCAGCTGGAGGGTCTTAAGACGACCCTGGCCGAGGCGGACGCGCGGCGTAGAGCCAGGTCCAATGCGGATTGGCGTTCTTGGTTGACCGCTGGCCTGGAGAAGGGAGCCAAAAGGGCCCACCTCATCACCAAAGACCCTTCGCCCTGGAGGCCGACGACGACGTTGGCGGCGGACGGCTCGGCGGTGGCTGACCCGTTGTCTTTGCTCGCTAACGAAGGAGACAAGTTCAGCAGTTTCTGGGGCCAGGCCTCTGGAGAGGCCAAGAGTGTGACGCTTGCTCAAGCGTTTCCTAGGGCGACCCCTGACCAGCTTCGAGCCGTGTCCAAGCGATGCAAGGCGGGCTCGGCTGTCACTTATGACGGATTTGACTGTAGGCATTTCCACTTGCTTTGCGACGACGGACTCACTGTTGTGGCTATGCTTTTCGAGTTGATGGAGTCGGTTGGAGTGCTGCCTCGACAGGTTTCTGCTGTCTTGATCGCCCTCCTCGGCAAGCCGACAGGCGGCTTCAGGCCGATAGGGGTGTTTTGCTCCTGGTACAGGGTGTGGGGTCGCCTCATGCGGCCCCGCGCCCTGGACTGGGAGCGACAACACCCCCGTCGGTACTGGGCCGCAGGGGCTTTCAGAGGAGCGTCTGATGTGGTGTGGCGCCAGTCAGTCCGAGCTGAGCCAGGCACAGCTAGGAAACTGTGCAGCGCCAGCGTTTTTTTATGACATGCTCAAATATTATGAAACGATCAACTTGGATATGCTGGAAGATCGGTGTCGTCGTCATAACTTTCCTGAAGTCATCGCTCGGTTGTCGATCCATGCGTACAGGTGCGGCCGTTTCATCTCTGTTGCTGGGGTGCTGGACGGTCCCTTTTTCGTGATCGATGGGGTTGTTGCTGGATGCAGCTTTGCGACTTCGCACATCCGAGTTTTCGCGATGGATGCGTTTGACCAGCTCCCTCGGCACAAACAGTTAGAGTTCGATGCGTACATCGATGACACGGGTGTTTCGAGCACTTGCAGTCACAAGCAAGTTGTCCAACAGATCGTGTCGACCTCTATCATGTTACATCACGTCATCACCAATGACATGGGTTGCCAGCTGTCTCTTGATAAAGTTTGCACGGTTGCCTCCAGCAAGAAGCTGGCTAGTGACTTAGCCATCTCTCTTGGTCATCTAGGGGGTAGAGTGCGCGATTCCACTGTCAACCTTGGC